CTCAGGTAGTTCTACACCCGAAGAGATTAATTTGAGTATTAGTACAATTCACACAGAATGTACAACAATTTAATTATGAAAATATAATTTTTGGTTTTATTATCCACACACAGTGAAAAGTTTCAAAAACAGTTTTTAGAAAATTGCAGGTTTCTTGAACTGAAGCCCTATTCCCCAAAGCTTTTAGGATTCTCTCAGGGAACCCTAAACAGAGGTAGAGTTAGAGGAGGTTCAATGAAACCCAAGTTTTTGAAAAACGATTTTATTACCAAAAATAATACTCCCAAGAACTAAATGTACCAACAATACTCAAAAAAATGTCTAATTATTCACAAATACAATGTCTCCAGACTACTGCAGGTACTACAACACACAAACAAAAAACATTTGTGAATTTCACCAAAGAAACAAGGTTAGCCCAAACCACTGTATAGCTCACAATATATTCAAAGGTTGTCACCACACTGCAGAATTTACAGAATACACAAAAGACTTCATTTATTTTGTAAAGAATAGTCACCAACAGCTGCAGGGTGCAAGAAGGTCACCAAAAGTACCCAAAAAAATTTCTGTCTAGTTTTAAAAAACGACACTAACACTGCAGAGTTAAAAGAGGCACACTCAACCGTGCCAAGAAAATTTCAATCTTACGTGATTTTTTTTTTCAAGAGAATGTTGGCAGATCTTTCAAGACTTGCCGTTTTTCCTTTCAGTCGGTGACTCGAGTTTCAGACCCTCGACTAAAGGGGACTGAAAACAAAAAAAATTATTTCCAAGCTTTGATACCACTGTAGGTACCTAGGAATGTTTAGAAAACACCGAAAGTTCGCAAAGCTAAGATCAAGATTTGTAGATCTGAATGAAAAAGTAAAGAACACAAACGATTTTTCGGCCGAAGCCCCGAGGTTCAGCGATTGGTTAGATCGTCTAGTCCCCGTTGAGCATCCATGAAGGAATAAACTCGAATCCACTAGAATCACCGGCCAAAAACACAGCTAAACTTCGAGTTACAAATGGAACACACAGTTCCAGTTCGCAGCACAGCAATATCACTCAACAACAAGATGAACTCACACAAGAATTCATAAGAAATTACTGACTTTTTTTTTTCGTTCATATCTACAAATCTTGATCTAACTAATTTTTTTTTTTTTTGTAAATATATTTTCCAAATGTAATATATAAGATTAATTTTCTTTATAATTTTCATTTGATTAAATAATAATTATGTTATTTACTTATTCAATATTTATATTCTTTAATTTTTTAAAATTTATTTAAATAATATTTATAATCTTTAATGTTTTTTGAGAATATATTTAATCTTTAATTTTTAATTTTTTTGTATTCTTTAAATATTAATAATTTCCTTTTGCTGAAAATCTCATTAATTTGTATTTTAATTCAATTAATTAATTTTTACATTTGTATTGAATTTATTTTGTTATTAGCGTCAAGAATTCTGTTCCCATTGATTTTTTGAGATTATACGTTATTTTATTATCTCTTGTTCAATGTTCTAACATTTGAATTCTTGCAGGATGAAGTATCATTTAGATGGGGAGTTGAGTCAGATGGCGGGGAAAGCTACTTGGAACTGTAGCTTTGAAAGTTTTACTGTTGTGTTGAAGCTGCTCGATGATCATCACGGAGATATGCTATGATAATCCTACTTGTGGCCACTGTACCAGATACGAGAGGTGCAGTACTCAGGACAGATCATCGATACACTTCTATGTCGGCTTCTGAGGTCAGTCGACGGCGATTCCCTCCACTTCGACCTGGGGGCAGGTTGTCAGTTTCTCGATGTATGAGTTTAGCTTAATCACCGGACTGGGGATTACGGACGACAATGCAGCCATTAAGAGAAGCAATAGGCTGTACTAAATGTACTTCCAGGGACATGGGTCGGTGCATCTACCCGAGTTGATGGTCGCGATCAGGGGGTGCGACCAGATGCTAGATAGATTGAAGCTTTGGCGGGTTTACATCCTCGAGAGTGTGATGAGGTGTCATTACAAGAAGACTACCATCGACATTTTTCATTTGCAAGTTGTTGACGACATGGATGCGTTCAACAACTATCCATGGGGCCGGAGATGCTACGAAGACACCGTACATGTCTTCACCAGATCACACTCGAGACCCAAGGGGTCAATGCGTAAATACGATACATATGGATTACCCTTAGCGGTGCAGGTAAATGTTTAATATAATTAAAGTTAAAGTTTTAGTATATTACATTTATGCATAACAAGTGTATGTGTTGCACATTTGGGTGTATGAGACAATCCCCATACTGGGGGGCCGCTTCGCGAAGCAAGGGGAGACACGATGCCCTCGGATGCATCATTGGAGATTGTCGCGAGCGGACGGATGTCCCACTGGGAAACAGTTATCAGCCATTCTCGACGATCCTCAGGTATGTATTATGCATTTGTGATTTATATTATACGTAGTTTAAAATCTGTTTACATGATCGTTAACTAGTTGAAATGTCAATATGTCAGTTTGAAGTCATACCTGAGTTGACGCCGTCGATGGAAGAGGAGGCTCGGGGTCTTGTGTGGGATTAATGCTCTTTGTATTAAGTATATGTAACATTCGAATTATAAATTTAATTATTTTTTGTGATTATGAAATAATTATAAATTTGTGTTAAATATATATAACATTCACATTGAAAATTTAATTATTTTTTTGTAAGTTGATTTTTTGTTATGTTACACATATGCCGAGTATGGAACTATTTTTTTCATATGAATCATTATAAATACCATTTATCAAGAATAAATATTGAACATTGAACATTTATGAAGAACAAATATTGAACCGTGTAAAGTAAATGAAAATATTATTCATTTAACGCATATGTCTAATTGTCATTTAGGGGAATTTGACTAGTACAAAATTGTCGAGTATGCCCTATGGCTCTACACCTGCCATACCTACGCGGTCGAGAAAACTCTCCGGTAGATGGTATTCTAGATGTACTTGGACGTCCATGACCACGAGGTTCAACTGCTGGTGGCAACAAATTATGAAACGGGAGAATGTGCTCGGGAACTTCTCACTCGACTTCATTTGACAGAGGAAATATAGTCTCAGCATATGCTGTTCTCCAAGACTCAGTCGTATAATACAAAGAGCATAACGTTCTCGCTGCAAAGCCTCGATACATGGCCACCGTAACTGCATGCTCACATGAAAAACTCTCCAACTGAAATCTCGTATAAGTGCATGTGTTATCAGTCAAGTCCGCCATATATGCCGTATTACGTGATCATTGCACGGAGAAGCGGAACTCATCTAGTGCTTCCACATTCAACTTCCTTGCAACCTCTGCTGCCTTAAAGCGTTTCTCCTATTGAGCTGGGGCCAACACGTTAGTATAACTCTATGATGCCGCACGTCAGTCATGAAACCACTGTTGTAGCTTGTTACGAATGTTCTCAATCATTGCGAGAATTGGTAACTCTCGATCCTTCTTAAACAATGCATTGAGAGACTCCGCGTTATTCGACGTCATCATATTGTATCGACGTCCTGAAAAGTATGATCGCGCCCAATGTTCGGTCCCCATGTTCGTCAGATAATCTAACGCCGGTAATGATTTACTTCCTATCTCGAACATGAACTTGTTACACTCTTCAGCATTGTAAGTTTCGGGATTAACTACATCATCTGTAGGAACAATCTCCACTGTCTCCCAAAAATCTCGGTCATTATTACCCGCTCCATCTGAATCTTCGCGTTCACTTTCGGCAACATCATTCTTAACTAAAGTCACGCCAAGAACAGTCGGAGTCCTATGCATTTTATTCAATTCTAATAGATAATTCAATTCAGCATCATTAGTAACAAATATAGGTGGCATCGGAATGGACGAATCCCCATAACCATTGAATAAATATCTCAGTTGCATATCGTATTGAGAAAAATGAACATTCAGCTTATTTTGCAAATCCTGGTACACTTCCGCATATGATGTACTCTCTGTTACGGGAATTGCAATACAACCGCATACATTACTCGTCCATCTCCATTCTCATATATTATTTTCATTCAGTTCGAAATCACCGAAATAATAGACCGGGATTATCATATCTGCGTGACGATATAGAATTTTTAAATGAATTACAACAACAAAAATTCAGATATTTAATCAACTTGTAATTAAAATTATAAGACAATTGTCAAAAGAGAAATTAATAAAAAAAAATTCGTAAAACAGTCGAAAAAATAGCTGACTGTGGACTGTTTTACAGCCGACAGTAATGTGAAAAAAATCGACTTAAACACCTAATGTGAGAAACAACCGACTGTCAAGTCGGCTGTTTAATAGCAGCCGTTGGTCGACTGTTAGACAGTCCTCTAATAGTCGACAGTTAGACAGTCTTTAGACAGTTGGCCGTCTGTTGTCTAACAGTCTTCGTTAACATCCCACAGTTAATCGTCAGACTGTTTATTTTACGTATGACTTTTTATTTTTCTATGGTTCTGAAGGAAAAAAATTATAGATCTGTTAAAATTTTTTTTTCTACTATCTACTGTGTTATTTAACTACTCAAATGTACACTAATTTACAGAAATCGAAATTAAGCATGTGTTAAAATATACTTACCGATTTGAAGTAATTGATCTGAAAAAAATTCTGGTTTCGACGTTTGAAGTTTTTTGATATTTTGAGGTTTAAGCAGATGAAAAATGAGAGTTTTTCTTTGTTCGAAGCTCGTTCTGCAGTTTTATAAGTGTGGAAGTGTTTGGTTTTCAATTATTAACTAAAAGGGTAATAATGTCTTTTAAACTATTCAATATTTTGTAATTATATAATATATTTAAAGACATCTCTATCTTTTACCATTCAAGAGATTAATGTGATAATTTTCAAATTTTTAAAAGTCAAAATAGAAATAAGGACCTTTGATTAGGTTAATTTTAAAAGGACCCCCTTTTGAAACTTTCGTGCACTGGCGAGAAATATTGTTAGGGTTTTGTAATCTAAATACACCGTAGAGAGAAGAAAAGAACCCAGTATCCACCCTCCCCAGCCATGGCGGCGGGAGTCTGTACAGTGCTTCGGCCGGAAGAAGACGGCGGTGGCCGTGACCCACTGCAAGAGGGGACGCGGATTGATCAAGATCAATGGCGTCCCAATTGAGCTTGTCCAGCTGGAGATCCTTTGTTACAAGGTGTTTGAGCCTATCTTCCTCCTAGGCTGCCACCGCTTCCCCGGAGTGGACATGCGCACCTCCCAGATCTACGCCATCCGTCAGTCAATTGTAAAAGCCCTAGTCGCCTTCTACCAGAAATACATCGATGAGCAGTTGAAGAAGGAGATTGAGGACATCCTTGTTTGGTACGACAGGACTTTGCTTGTGGTTGATCCACGTCGCCGTGAGCCAAAGAAGTTTGGTGGTCATGGAGCTCGTGCTAGGTTCCAGAAATCCTACTGTTGAAATCAAATCTCGGTAGTTCTGATTACGTCACTATAGTCTTTATGCTTATTGTTTGTAGTAAGCATTTGGAATTTTGGATTTAGACTTAGTTTTGATTGAAGAGAGTTCTCAATTCAAGTCCGTATAATGGTTATGATCTGTTTTGTTAGGGTTTTGAGGCATTTTCATTAATTGTTACATTTTCGGTTATCAAGATGACTTTTTTTGGGATAATATCGATAGGGTTTATATTTCTGCATTTGTTTGTTGTGGTCTTTTTAATCTCATTTTTACTTAGTAATGATTGTGGTTGTGCTGGTTCTGGTTCTGGTTCTGGTTCTTGGTAAAGTGAGTTCTGATTTGTCAAATTGAATTTCTTGGTTTTAGTCAAATGGAAAGTTTTTGATTTATTATTGAGAGTTTCAATTCTTGTTATAATTTCTGTTCTGAATTTTTTTTTTTTTTTTTTTTTTTTTTAGCCATTGCTGTGCCATATTTGTTAAAGCTACTGTGGCCTTGAAATGCGCAGCAGATATGCAGTTGAGCAATCTTAGATCTTAATCCACTTATACTCAAGAATTGCTTTTTATTGCATTGAAGGGAAAAGAGCTTTTCTGTAGCAGGTTTTTAAATAAATTTAAGCCTTTTCTGTTTTATGCTTGGTACAATGATTAAAGGCCTTACTTTGCTTGCTTTAAGTATTATGTTTCAGGATGAAATATGCTTCTGGAGTTGCAATTGATGAGTTGATATGTTGTTTTTTTCCCTTGTACAGGCAATAGATTTTTGGTTTCAGCATTCTTTTTTATTTTTTTTTATCAAGGTGTCCGCCTTCGACGACTATTCCTTATGTCTGTGATCCGTTCTCTCTTCACACAGACCAATTAAATCACGGGATGTGCCTCCTACTGACCAGGGTCCGAGCTCCTCTCCAATTGAACTGCCAAAATGCCTAGTGAGCCAACCCACGTTGCGCCTTGCCTTCCAAGACATTCCTGTTTTTCAGGATAAATCCTGCCTTCCAGTATATGTCTTGCTTTCCAAGAGCCCCACGAGCCGAACCCACGACCTCCGAACTGACAGCCTTGAGAGAACCCTTTCTTTGCCAGTGAAGAAGTGCCCCGGGGGGCTTGGTTTCAGCATTCTTGATATTACAGATGCTAGTTCAACTTGCTTTTTACTGGTTTCTTGTATGCATATATAATGCTCTAGTCATGATGGGGTTGTCGACCCACAAATTTGAAGGCAGATTGAAGCAGACACCTATTTTTAAAACGACCCTGGAATGATCCAGAAAAGGGAGAGGATCAAGTGTCGAATTGTTTACGATAAATATGTCACAAAATTTTGACATCGATTTCCAGTTCCACCCCTCTCCAAGTTGATAAACCTACTTTCTTCGAGATTTGTTTATTGATAAATATCCTTCTTCTGCTATGGGTTGTTAGGCTTTGGCTATTCCTTTGGTTGGTGGTGGTGTCAAGGCTGTTGCTTCTTTACGGCTCTCTAGGCCTTACAGAACTTGTATCTTCTCTCTTTCCCAAATCCGAACTAGCATCTTAATTGGTGAGAACCTAGACTTGAGAATTGTGCTGGTCAGCTCGCTGTTCAGTCGACCTCCTTAGAGGCTGCTGGAATGACTCCTTCGCATTGTGTATCTGGAGTATTTTATGATTTTCTTCATTGAAATAGGCAAGGTCGACTGCTAAATTTTGTAGCCTATAAGAATCCTCAAAGTGCATATGTGTGAACAAAAAACTGTCTAAACGAATTGAAACTGCTGGTTTGAGTTCAGGTGAACTTTTAAATGTTTTGATTTAGAAATTGAATGATTTGCCTTTAATTTTGATTAAGAAAGTGTTTGAAATCAAATCAATCATTTATTGAACTATGAAATAATTACTCTTTTCTTAGAACAAAGTTGTCACGAGTCAAATGTGAAAATTATTTCAAGTGTATTTATGATTTTTAACTACTTTGTACGGCACGACATTACTTACGTAACACTTGCTTTAAGAAGATATTGTGCAATTCATAAGAGTGAAATGAGATTATGGTTCGAACGTTTATGTTTAGCAAATATCAATTTAGATTTTTATTGAGCTTTTGAATTAATATATTTATATTCTCGTGTGGGCCCTACAAGACTATTATATATTAAGTGACATAAATATTTAAAAAGCTTGGTAAGATGATCCAATACAACACATGGTAGTACCTTATTGCTAATCCCGAGCTCATTTATTGCAATAAAAATATCCTGAACATTAGACTCCAATGGAGCAATTTCACGATTCTTGTCTCTTTAATTTGTTGATACACAAGTGATAGCTTTTCTTGTAAGCTCCTTATATGTTCATTGATATTCCCAATCTCTTCATCCATTGATAACTATTTTATTTTGGTCCAAAAATGTTTCTTCAATATCCTGCCTTTTAGATGTATTGTAGATGACTCCATAAAGTTAAACAAATGGTATTTAAACCTCTAAAGATCTCATACTTGAAACTTCTTTTTTCCTTCTTCAAAATTTGAACATTATTATTAAACTTCTAAAGATCTCATACATCTAATAAGGCACGACCATTAACAATTAGAATCTAGGTCTTGCTCCACAAAGTACAATGACAACCAGACCCGAAATCAACAAAAGGGTTTGTTGGATACTTCGTCGGTCGGTTTCCAGGGAAAGTGGCTCTTCTCCAACTTTGTGACTCGTGGAAGGTAAATTATAAATCTTTTGTGCATGCAAGTGGTTGGTTGGTCTTCAAATTCGAAACGGATGTGGATAGACTAAGTGTTTTGCATGGGGGTTCATATTTGATTTATGGGAGACCGTTAATGCTAAAAGTTATGCCACATTATTTTGATTTTGATGATAAGGATGTGAGTACTATGCCGGTTTGGATAAACCTACCGGGGTTGCTTTTGAAATTTTGGAATACGAATGCCTTGGACAAAATTGTGTCAAAGGTTGGGAAACCCATTTCAACCGATAAAATTACGGCAATTAGAGGTCGACTTTCGTATGCAAGAGATCTTGTTGAAATTGATTCTTCTATCGAACTTGTGTGGGAGGTTAAGATTAGACTTCCAAATAGAAAGTTGAGGGAACAAGAAATTATTTTTGAACATGAACCAAAATTTTGTGGTTCTTGTAAATTCTTCGGTCATACTTCTTTTGGATGCAATTTAAAGCATGGAGGGGCGGACAAAGGTAAGGCCAAAATTGGGGTATCTACTAATGTTCAAACTCGAGTTGCTCATGGGATTAAAAAGCTGTTTGGAAAATCAGCTGCAAACTCACGACCCACTTCAGCTCAATCGGCAGATTGTGGGAAAGAAACTGGACAGCAATATGAGATTTTTGTTGAGCAACAAAGGCGGCCTCTTAACCAAAATCCAGAGCACCCAAGTGACTTCCAGCGAGCCCAGATTTTGGATCACGAAGAAGAGCCGTTTGTGGAGGTTGTTAGCAAGAAAAACCGGACAGCTCATGGAAAGAATAATACACGTTCCTTGGCACCTATTTCTATGGCAGATTCTTCAGCAAATGTCAATGAAGCAGAACCAAAACATTCTGGAAATGAAAAGCTCAAAGGTATTGTTGTTGAGCAAAGAAAACCGATTACAAAAGTTCGCAAGAAGAAGGGTACATCCCTTGCTTCAACGTCATGAAGCTTGCATTTGGAATATTAGGGGTATGAATTCACCCCTTAAACAAAATGGAATTCGTGAATTTATCAAGCAACATTGCATTGATATTATGGGTATTTTGGAAACAAAGTTGGGGTATCGAAAATTGATGAGAATTTTGAGGAATAAGTTCGATGGCTTCATGCATGTCAACAATTTTGGAACTCATAGAGCTGGAGGGATCTTGATTTTGTGGAATCCATCCAAAGTATTTTTGGATGTGATGGAGGTTCATCAACAAATCATTCATTGTAAAGCTTTACAAGATAACATCTTATACCTTTCTTGTTATTTTTGTTTATTATTTCATACTGTGGTTAACCGGATGCCACTTTGGAATAACATTATGGAGTTCAACACTAATTTCTCATCACCGTGGTTGATTCTTGGTGACTACAACAATGTTCATAAATTTGATGAAAAACGTAATGAGGTGGATGTTACCTCTTATGAAATCAAGGATCTTACAAATTGTTACCTTCATGTGGGTCTAATGGATGTGCGGTCTATTGGTTGTTATTACACATGGACTAATGGTTCGATTTGGAGAAAAATCGATAGGGCAATGATCAATGATATTTGGGTGCAAAATGGGGTATATGTTGTTGCAAATTTTCTAGCCTCCAGTTGTCTTTCCGATCATTCCCCTTGCATTGTTTCCGTCCATGACCGTGTTTGGGGTGGAAAAAACCTTTCAAGTTTTTCAACATGTGGACTAAGCATGTGGATTTCCATGATATCATTCAAGCTTGTTGGAATTTTAATGTGCGGGGGACAAAGCAATTTATACTTTGCAAGAAATTGAGCAAACTAAAGGGAGCTTTGAAGGAGCTTAATAATAAGTATTTTGAGCACATTTTGACTGGGGCAAATGAGGCTAAAATTGAATTGGAGGCTACCCAATTACAATTACATAATCAGCCCAAGAACGTGAATTTTCAACTTTTGGTTGCAAAGTTGAGAAAGAAGGCCGTTGGTTTATGTGAAGCGGAGCGGAGTTTTTATTATCAAAAGGCAAAATGCATCTTCCTTAAGTAAAGTGATAAATGTACAAAGTTTTTTCACTCGGTGGTCAAAAGGAACTCTAGAAGGAATTTCATTGCTTCTATTCTTAAGGAGGTCAGGATGTAAACCACTTCACAAGACCAAGTTATTTTGGAATTTGTAAATTTCTGTACCAACTTGCTGGGGAAATATGAGGCTGTTCCGTCGATTGAAAACAACATTATTTGCAATGGGCCTTTGGTATCTTTGGAACAAAGCAATGCATTGGTTTGGGACATTTCTTTTGAGGAGATCAAAGAGGCTCTTTTTGGGATTGGAGATAATAAATCTCTCGGATCGGTTGGGTACACTTCATGTTTTTTCAAAAGTACATGGGGGTGTATTGAACATGATTTTGTGGAGGCTATTATGAAATTCTTTTCATTGGGATCCATTCCTAAGCAAATCAATCATGCGGTCATTGCTTTGGTGCCAAAATCTACTCATGCACCTAGTGTTGAGGATTATAGATCGATATCTTGTTGTAATGTGATCTATAAAGTGATCACAAAAATCCTTGCATCTCGATTGAGGCCTATCTTGGGAGACATTGTGGACCAAGCACAAGCCGCTTTCATTGAAGGTAGGAACATGACGGAAAATATTCATCTTACTCAAGAACTCATGAGACAATACAATAGAAAGAGGGTAGTTCCAATGCCTCCTTAAAATTGATTTAAGGAAAGCTTATGACTCGGTTAGATGGGACTTTCTCAAAAGTGTACTTGAAGGGTTGAATTTTCCTTTGAGATTTGTTCAATGGATTATTGAATGTGTTACCACTCCAACATATTCCGTTGCTTTGAATGGGAGTATGCATGGATTCTTCAAAGGCGGGAAAGGTCTTCAGCAAGGTGATCTACTTTCCCCTTTTTTGTTTGTGCTCTGTCTTGAATATTTTTCTAGAATGATCAAGGATGCTACAAATGATAGTGAATTTAATTATCCCCCAAAATGTGGTCTTCTTAAAATAACCGATTTGACTTTTGCGGATGACTTGATGCTCTTTGCAAGGGGAGATGCTATGTCCGTGGAAATTCTCATGAATTGCCTTGATAAGTTTGGTTTAACGTCGGGTTTGAAGATCAACACTTTGAAATCCAGCTTATACACAACTAGAATTTATGGGTATGAGCTTGAAAGAATCATGGAAATCTCAAATTTTTCGAAGGGGACTATGCCTTTTCGTTATTTAGGAATTCATCTTACCTTGGAGAAGCTCAAAGTGAGTTCTTATGCTCCGCTCCTTAAAAAAATTGTGGCTTATATTGGAGCTTAGAATTGCTCATCCTTATCTTATGCCGGCAAAGTGGAACTTATTAGGGTGGTACTTCAAGGAATCGAACGTTTTTGGCTTTCAATATTCCCCATCCCGGCTACAATTATATCAAGAATTGTTAACCTTTGTCGAAAATTCCTTTGGGGATCAAAGAAGCCTTTGGCTGCGTGGAAGGATCTTTGCCTTCAAAAGAGGAAGGGGGCCTTGGATCAAAGGATTTGAAGAGTTGGGAATTTAGCGTTACTTGTTAAATCCCTTTGGAACATTCAACATAAAAAGGACACTCTATGGATTTTAGTGGGTTCATCAAGTATATCTTAGTGGGACTTGCATTTGGGAGGTTCGTCCTAAGAAATATCATTCTCCACTCTTCAAGAAACTGCTGGAAATTAGAGACATTTTACATGAAAAAGTTGCTGGCCAACCGATTTTAACTAATGGATAGCTTGGGGCGTCGAGTTAGATGGACGCTGGCATTATCCTTTCTCGGCATGCTGGTTTAGCCCCAAATACCTTGCTGGGCATGCACAAAACATGGGCCAAGCTGGGCAGAATCTGGACAATCATAGAGATGGGCAGACAGTTCGATTCGACAATAGTTTCTGGGTTTTTTAGAGCAATTTTTGGGCTGTTCGGCTGAGGATAAGTTCAGCATAAAAATAGCCTATAATTTCTTTAGGCCTAAGGGTACATTCAAGACTTGGGGAGCCGAAGTTTGGAAACCGTGCATCATTTTGAAGCATTCCTTTTTGCTTTGGTTAGGGGTTCAATTTAAACTCCTAACTAAAGAAAAATTGCAATTCTTGGATATTGACCGTAATTGTGTATTTTGTGGGCATTTGGCGGAAACTTGCGGCCATCTTTTCTTAAATGTTCCTTCACATCTATATTATGGGGGAATGTTAGGCGATGGCTCGACATCAAGAGATCTATGACAACACTTGCTAGTGCTCTAAAGTGGTTGAAAAAGGAGGCCCTTTGGACGTCATGGTTAAGTAAGGCGAAGAGGATTGCTCTTGCTAGCACTGTATATAACATTTGGTTAACACGGAATGGGAAGATTTTTGAAGATCTTTTGGCCAACTTGGATTGCATTGTGAGACGGATCAAGACACACGTATACAAAGTATGTTCACTTTGTATCCGGATGTCTTGATCCATTTCGAGTCTTTAGTATTGGGTCATTGACTTTTTATACACTTCACTTGTTTTGTATTTCCCAGGTATGCCCGGAGTAATTATATGTGTTAATGGACTTTTGATTGCTCGGGAATGTCCGGTGTACTTGTATATGGAACATTTTTTATTAATGATATTTTATTTACCGATTAAAAAAAAACAAAAGGGATTGTTTAAAATCACGTATTTACAAAGGCGTGTTGTTTAGTCTTCAAAATCGTACTCAAGATTCACACTAGACTTCAAAGACGTAATAAAATAACATCTTTTATATGATCTGACAAATGAAAGCATTTTTGTAAGTTCCTTATATGTGTGTAAGATCTCACCGATCTCTTCATCCATCTTATTTTCTCAAGAATGTGCTAAAAAAATTGACTTTTAATTTCCTTAATCTGACCTATAAGCTTTCTTGCCTATCTTTCATTGAAATTTACCCAGTTACACAGTCCCGAACTACGAATATAAAATCCGCACATCTTCAAGCCTGAAAGTGTCTCCAGAATGTCATTAATGAACTTCGAGATTATTAAATTGCAACCTAACAGTTTAAATTGTTATTCTATAACCTAGGACTAAACCTTCACAAAACTTTCTTTAAGAGATTTCAGAGGTTAGAAACTCAATAAAAAAAAAATAACCAATACCATGATACGTCATTCTTTTTTTATTTTTATTTTTATTTTTATTTTATTATATATACACACACACACACACTTTTACTTTCACCAAGGAAAAACTATACTACATTTCCATGAATGACAATTTTTTGATAAGTGCACTTCTTGCTTGCGACCTATATGACTTTTAAACTATAAGTGAGATAAAACAATTACAAAAATCGTGTTATGGTGATCCAAATACAACAAAAGATATTATATTATTCCTACTCTCGGGCTCATTTATCGCTAATAGGTATTTTTCATACATCATAAATTTCGTGCACTATAGACTGCAAAAAAGCGATAAACATTGCTTTATAGCTGATCCAACAAAGTGAAAACTTTGCCTGTAAGTTCCTTAAATGATTGTCGATCTCACAAATCTCTTCATCCATCTTATTTATTCAAGATTGTGCCCAAAGATTTTACATTTTTTAGTTTATTTTTCTCAACCTAGATTACAAGCTTTTCATACCTTTCATTGAAATACCTACTTATTATGGTCCCACATTATGATCATATAAAATTCGTACCTTTGAAAGCATGTAAGCGCCTTAAAAATTTCATTACTAATGTTTTGAGTATCAAATTGTAACCTCGAAGCTTTCTCCACGGCAATGGAAAAAGTTACCATAAAACTTTAACTAAACTAAAATTCCTTAAAATGATCTAATGCCTTGATAAATCATTCTTTCTTCTTGTTTACTAGAACACTACTTTTATAGAGGAAAACCTATAATTTATTTCTTATCCACCATTAAGAATTATTTAAGATAAGTTCAATGCATGTGCTTATGGCGTGCGACTTCTAAGACTTGATGTAAAATAGTTATATATCTTATTAAGGTGATTCAAATACAACAAATAAAATTATTTTATCTCTACTCAAGCTCCTCTATCTAAATTAAATAAATGAAGGAAAAACACCAGCTAAATTTTAATACTCGTTGACGGACCAAAAGACTGGTTTAGAAGTTCGGCTATTTACTATTAGCCACACTTAGGTGACCCAAAAAATTCGACTCAATTCCTAGATAACTCCACCGTTACCTACAAAGCTGTAATTTTTCTTTTCTTTTCCTACTTTACTTTCTCGTCCCTTTAATCATCAGGTAGATTTTTTACTGTAAGGCGAAGATATTTTGACTATTCTGTCTTAAGATCATTTGGTGCTTTAGTTTCTTGATTCCAAGCGGTGAACTGTTTGAAGATATTCAGTGAAGAATGACATATGGGAAGGGTAATCAAGAAGAGAAGGAAAAGGAGGATGAAGAGTTTTATTTCAGAGAAGATGATACACCACTAATAATGCCAAAGATGGGAACATCAGCGACAAGGCTAATGCAACTAGGTCAAAGCATTTGATTACAGAGCAGGACAAGAGGAGCAAAATCAATGACAGGTTTCTAATATTGTTAGAGCTGAGACACTGTAGTGAACAGAAGCTGAGATACTCTATCATTTTAATTGGAGGTTATTCCAGTATGTAATTGGGACCATGAGCGGTCATTCCAATAGATATACTACTTTCAACAAGGAAAAACTATACTATACTTCCACTATTTTTCGTGGATTATTCTACTGATGCATTCAGGTGTACACCTTGGGTGAAATGTAACTAGTGAACTTTTTTCCCTTTCATTAGTCAATGATATAATGTCACTTGTGCATGATGTCACTTGGCGTACACTTGAGTATACGCGTAATAATGCCCATTTTTTGTTAAGTGCAATACATGTACTTCAAGTGATGTATAATATTTACAAATATTGTTATAGTGATTTTGTTGGAATTGGTTCAAAAATCAACCGAATTGACCGGAAAAATTTGGTTAAGTATGAAAATGTGTGACTTCGTGTCAACTTTGACCAAATATTCGGACTTGATCCGATAGTTAAATTATAAAAGTAAATAGACTAACTTATTCTACTCGTTGAATATATCGTTGTGGTATATCCGGATTAATGAGAAATTGTGGTCCAAAGTTGGAAGAAACAAAGTGTTGCAACTTTCTGAAAGGATGCACGTTTTGGCCTACAATACTTCATTTGCACCCTTTCTACATCCATAAATAAGACCCTTTGGACGTGGTTTTGACTACACCATTGCATTGAGCATCCATTCTTCTCTTACAATTCATCTGTCTTTCATTCTCATAACGTTCCTTTGTAGAGGGAAAATTCCGTTGAAGTTTCACCTTTCTTGTGGTTTGAAGTGTGCTACCACAAGTGTGTATCCGTTATATTTTGGAAGACATTTGTCATTCAACCGTGAGCACCGTATTGGGGCAATTTGTCTTAAGGAAAGAGTTATACTCGCTTTGAATTTCCTTTTCTACTCCTTATTTTATCTTGGGTTTGTACTACACTTCCACTTCATAAAATTTTGGTTTAACTACGCTCTTGCGGGTTAAACTTTGCACTCACAAACAATCATCCTGACCGCTCACAAATAAGCTGGAACCAACAATCTTAAGACAAAATTTTTGGTGGTTGTTTGGTGTTTTAAATCAATCTGTTCGGTGCACTTTATATTCGAATTCTTGCTGG